ATATATAAATTTTCTTTTCCATTGCCTGCCTTGTGCTTATTTTTTGTCACTGTTTTTCTTTCGTTCTTTAGAGTTTTTGTTGCGCTTTTTGTTGAACGTCGGCGTTGGCGGCCCTAGTCGAATTTGGATCGACGACTTTAGTCGTGATAGACTCGACGGCCTTAGCCACAAAGGCAACTTCGACTGTCGTCGGGTCGTTTACTCGCCGCAGTCAAACCTAGGTCGACCGTTGGCGGCGATGGCCTTAGGCATAATATAGTTGATGGACTTGCTTTTTCAACTCGGTGCGGGCGAGTCTTAGCCGTTATTTGGCGATAGCGGCGCTTAGCCTTAGTCCCAGTTCGGACGTGGTCGAACTATCGGTTGTGATAGTAAACAATGCGGCCTCATAGTTCGACCGGGGCCGAACTTTACGTGGCCCGAATCTTAATTCGAGTTGGGAGAACTTACTTGGATGGCGAGGGTGCCTATCCTGCGCTTTGATTAGTTGGAGGTCGGGCTTTACTTTCATAGATGAAGGCGTTTGGCCTGAGTCTTGGTTCAACTGTGGTTGAACTTGCTAAAGTTGAGGACGAAGGCGTCCATCCTTATAGTTCGAGCGAGGTCGAGCTCGTTGGATTTAATGATGAAGGCACATAGCCTGAGTCCCAGTTCGACTGCTGTTGGGCTTCGTTAAATTTGGTGGCGAAGACACGTAGCCTGTCTTGGTTCAACCGTAGTTGAACTTTTTAGTGAAGGCGCGTAGCCTTGATATAATGGCGAAGGCGCATAGCCTGAGTCCCGGTTCAACCGTAGTTGAACTTTATGGTGAAGGCGTGTAGCCTGTCTCGGTTCAACCGTAGTTGAACTTTTTGACGAAGGCGCATAGCCTTGATATAATGGCGAAGGCGCATAGCCTGAGTCCCGGTTCAACCGTAGTTGAACTTTTTGGTGAAGGCGCGTAGGCTTGATATAATGGCGAAGGCGCATGGCCTGAGTCCCGGTTCAACCGTAGTTGAACTTTCTGGTGAAGGCGCGTAGCCTGTGCCGGTTCAACCGTAGTTGAACTTTTTGACGAAGGCGCATAGCCTTGATATTATGGCGAAGGCGCATAGCCTGAGTCCCGGTTCAACCGTAGTTGAACTTTCTGGTGAAGGCGCGTAGCCTGTCTCGGTTCAACCGTAGTTGAACTTTTTGACGAAGGCGCATAGCCTTGATATAATGACGAAGGCGCATAGCCTGAGTCCCGGTTCAACCGTAGTTGAACTTTTTTTTTTTTTGGTGAAGGCGCACGGCCTATCTTGGTTCAACCGTAGTTGAACTTGTTGGTGAAGGCACATAGCATGTCTTGGTTCAACCGTAGTTGAACTTTTTTGGTGAAGGCGCATAGCCTGAGTCCCGGTTCAACCGTAGTTGAACTTTTTTTTTTTTGGTGAAGGCGCACGGCCTGTCTTGGTTCAACCGTAGTTGAACTNTAGATAGATGAGGGACAGAGACGGGACTCGATTCGAGATCTTCGAGTTCCATCGGCTTGATATGCCGCTTTGGCTGTTTTGCTGGTGTCTTCCAACCGGCGTTCTTCCTTTGGTCCATGGAAGAACTACGCGATTTTGCTATGAAATCCCCACAGACGGCGCCAAATTGTTTGCTCAAAAAATGTTACGCATCTTACGAGTACAAAACAATATAAATAAATCCCGGGATAATCATAGCAAATCGTAATAATCCGTTGGACCAGATGGAAAAAACTAAAATAAGAACTCAGAATTAGGGGGAGAAGCATTAGAAACCTTTATTGATAATATTTGTTTGGTCTGCCTCTCCATGAAGAGGTTCAGAGCCTTACAATGGTGTTTTCTCTTCCCATAAGAGGGGTATATTTTCTTGTTTCTCTCTCCTCTCACTAGTGGTGAAGAAGCAGCCACTTTTCTAGGGCTTTCACTCTTAGTATTTATAGATGTGAGCTTCGTAAGCTGGCAATAAATGGCCGTGGCTACGCTGAGGTTCCGTCCCCGTGGGGGAATGAATGGGCCGTGCCCTCGTAGATTTAATCGGACAAGAGTCGAATCCTCTTATAAATAAGTGGCCATACCACTTATTAATTGTGGATTAGCTTAAGAGGAGATTAATTTCGTTAATTACCGTGAGGTCAGATTCTGACCCATACATTATAATCACTAACACATGCAAGTACATTTGTTGAGATTATTTATGACTTGTTAGCTTAACCTAATTTAGTTTATGTTGAAATCATTTATTTATATATCGATTTTTTTGGTTTAGTGTTTAGCACTATTTCTTTAATTATTGGTATTTATTTGCAATTTTGTATATCTTTTTTTTATTGTCGTCTGCTTGCAAATAACTACTTCTTATTGTAAAATACAAAAAAGTTCTATAATTTCTTAAATATATTAGAGCTAATAAGTTTTTAAAGTGGATAAATTTTTGTTGAAGTTTGAAAATTTGTTAAACATGTTAAGTTAAATTGATAAAATTTAAAAAAAGAAAGAAATGAATAGGCATTTATATGTTTTTCATATATTCTCAACTTTTTTAAAACTATTGATTACCGACTTTAAAATGATTTTATTTCGAGATCGATTATGAACAAAAAGGACCCCAAAAGAAAAGAAAATAACTACCATATCCTGCTTGTTATACTCGAAACCGGCTATACTGCTAATTATTAATGCCTTTAACTAAACCCGCTTGTTCAAAATTTTGGGTCCGCCAGACAAACTCTTGTTGCACCCCAAAAATAAATTTTTGTTAGAATCATTAGTAGAAATAAGAAAATGATTCTGTTGATACATTCGAGTAATTAAACATTTCACATTAGGAAACTAAATTTATTGTTATAACCTGAATTTTTCAACAAACTCGACCTATTTCTATTTAAACCACGATCATGAGCAAGTGAATAAATATACTCATGAAAGATAAGTGGATATAGGAAGGTGTGTTGTTACGATCTATATGGCTGTAAATATTTTTGGATTTCTTCCATTTGAAATTCGATTTGAACCAAAGATGGAAGATTTTGAGGGCTATCAAATGATACATAGTGCTATACAGTTAAAACAAAGTATTATAGTAAGAATAGATACCATGGATACAGGTAAATTTACGTGGAATCTCCAACGGCCGTGTCTTTATCCCTCAAGCCTCAACATCAGCCCAAATAGAACCTACATAATGATCAACTAATTATTGTTTGGCCCAAAATTTAGATCTAGATTTAAACAATTGATTTTCTAATAAAATAGAGTTAATCTTAGCCAATATTAATATCCAAAAGATATATTAATCGATTTTGTACGGAGATAACACGGATATTGTCTATATAGCAATAAATGGTAACAACATTATTTTATTCAATGATCCAAAAATAAAGGAGGTAGCATTAAATAATAATAAATAGCAATAAATGTCATTTGAGTAAATAAGAGCATGTGATTCACCCGAAAAAGGTGAGATGTCTTTGGTATTCTTTCTGACAATGATAAATGATTGATGAGTCTTTGAATATTCAGATTCTCCTTGGATCGTAGAAGAAAAGTTAGACAAAGATTTGAAGAAAAGGTATAGTTTGGCAATCATCTTACCCACACCGAGTGTTTACACCAAACTATATTAACTCACAATGGTTAATTAATTTAATTAGATGAGAATGTATGTAATTTAAATGATTGAAGTCCATATGCAAGACATATGTCATATATCTATTGGTTTGATGTAAACACCCGGTGCGGGTAAGTTTTTACCTATAATTTGTATGTGTACAATAAAACAAGAATCTGCAGAGAATGTCAATGTGTTGTTTTACAAATGAGTATTAAATGTTCCCTATAACTATGTCTCTTTTTATTTATAAGGGGACATGTGGCACAATACCCTAATAGTACAAATCCAGAGAATATTCATTGGAATATTCATGAATATTCTCTTTAAAGTCTTATCCTAAAACTAGTAGTTATTATTCTGTTTAAAGAGAGTGCTCGTCCTCGGCCTTGATCTCTGTTGACTCCTCGACCTAGTCCTTTGTCGCATCATTTTGACCTTGCATCTGTCTTTTGTTGGAGTCATACTGATGAAAGGCCTTCTTAATGCGTTTACTAAGATAATTTTTGGCCCATTCAGTTATACCACCAAGTTGAATTGCTACTATGTCGGAACTTCATCGATACAACTCTATCATCAATCCTTCTCAGATCACCAATAGTGTTGTTAAAGCTCCTAATGCTAAAACAACACTGGTACAAAGAACTTAGCTCCTCATAATATGCAATAGTTCTATAGCAGTCAAAGTGGGGTTATAATGGTTGATGGCCGGTGGTCTTTTGACGAAGGTATAATAGTGGCCGGAGAAAGTGGTTAAGATGATGGTGTGAGGCATATCGTTTGAATGAGTGATTTTTATGTCTTCTTTTTGTGATTATAGTGGGTGTGAGAAGTGCTGGTGATCTTCAAGTACTGTTTTTGAGAGTGGGGAAAATCAATTATTATAGTGGTGATCCATTTAGATTCTAGAGGGATGAAGGATGATGTTTGAGAAAAACAATGGCCAAATTTGGACTATTTGACAAAGTTTACGAGAAAATTTGGACTATTCTGTAAAGTTTATGGGGCAAATATGGATCAACTCGCATAGTTTAAAGGAAAATTTGGTTCTTTTCCCTTATAAAAAAGCTCATGCATGTGTCTAAAAACTTCTGCCATCAGTCAATAAAAGCAAATCTAATCCACTTTTATAACACCAAATATAGATCTGACCCTAACTATTTGCGGAGAATAATGTTATTGGTGAAATGCAGGGGCGACATTTCCCTCATTGTATGGTACCCATAGTTTTTATTTGAATTTCTTTTCCACCACCACATGTAGAAGAAGACTTTTTGTAACTCGTGTGACCAGAGGTCTATACCTCACGGTCCTCACCTATACCTATTCGATTGAAGTATTGTAAAAACGATTAGCTTTGCAAGAGTAAATAATCATGGGTCAACATTCAAAGTTCATTTAATCGAAATTCCAGTTTCTACTTTGGGAAAAAGGTCAAATTTGTACCTCTATTTTGATAAATTGTTACATTTATACCTCGTCTAAATATGTCCCTACTGTTAGCAAAGTAGATGAAATCCCCCTAACCCTAACAGATCTCCAACGTGGCAATGGAACCCCTCAATTAATCTGCCAACTAGACAAAATATCAACCCAAATTTTAAAAGACCCATGCCCATTTCTTTGACCCAACTATCCAACACCTTAACCACATCTTTTCTTCTTCCTCGTTTCTTCTTTTCCAGGGCTCATAATAAGGTAACCAACTGAAAATCTTACCAAAAGAAAACATTGTGAGCAGAAAACAAAAAATCAATATGAAAAATTTAGAAGATTCCATAATAAAATGAAAACTAAATACACATTGAATAGCATATCATCAGTCGAGAAAAAGGATTTGGAGTACCATATTCAAATCTCGCCGGAATGTTGGCTATTTTGCAGATCGACCTGCCATCTCCCTTCCACCCCATTTTTTCTTTTCTTCTCTTTTTTACTGTTCTCAAATCTCAAAATCTTCTAGTATGTTCAAATTGGATGCAAGTTATTCTCTTTCCTTATGCCCATTTACCCATTTCCTCCTTTTTGTTTTCATATTCAAGCCCATTTAAGCGAGAGATGTTCAAGCATGGTCAAGAACCTTCAGCGAAGAAACTCATCGGAGTTTGGTCGGAAGAAGCTTCGGCGATTCTCCATTCGTTGTCTTACGAGCAATGAAGAAACTCATCGGAGTTTGGTCGGAAATCCGATCTTTGATCCGTTAGAATCCATTTATAAATTCAAGACGATGATTTGAAATAGAGAAACTAGTACTGTTGATAGGGAAAAATCATCATTTTGTACCCTTTTGTTAGAGACATCTTCATTGTCATCGTCCATTTGTTTTCAAATTTTGACCCATTCATTTGTGATAGTTGGGTCGGACATGGGTCTTTTAATTTGGGTTGATATTTTGTCTAGTTGGCAGATTAATTAAGGGGTCCCATTGCCACATTGGAGATCTGTTAGGGTTAGGGGTAGTTTTATCTACTTTGCTAACGGTAGGGACATATTTAGACGGAAAGTAGAACGAGGTATAAACGTGAACAATACAAATTTGACCTTTTTCCCTTCTACTTTCTAGAACGTGAATCTGACACTCTTAAAAAGTCTGAAAAGGTTGATTTTGGGGCCAATACATCCAAGCTTTTTTGGTTTTTCATCTCGTTTTAGGACCCGACTAATTTAGATTAGTACCGAAAAGTTATATTTTAAGAGATAAAGTACTATCTACCAAAAACGATTTTATTTCAATGTTCAAACTCAAAATCATTAATTAATAATATAAGAATATTTATCACCCCACCTTAACCTTTGGTGCTTCCAACACATCCACGTGCAATCACACAAACGATGATATGTGCATTTACCTACCACACCTACCTTTATCCACTTACATATATTTCCTCTCTTTATTTCATCCTGTCCTTCCCTATGAAGTGTGCCAAATAGGCAAAGTTCTATCCATCACTCAATTCGCGCACATTATTTTAATCCTTCTTGCGAAGTTATGATATGTGGTCTCTGTTCTTACCTTTTGGGCTTACCATCATCATTCAATTTTGAAAATTACGGTAAACAGTCAAATTAGTACTTTCTTAATGCTATTTTATTAACTACATATCACATTATAAAATACTCCCTCCGGTTCACAATAAGTGTCCAATTTACTTTTTCATTTTGGTTCAAAATAAGTGTCCAGTTATGTAATCAAGAAAGAATTAAGTTACGTACGTTAAGTTAGTTAAGTTACTNNNAGTTATGTAATCAAGAAAGAATTCAATTTGTTTTTACAAAATAACCCCTATGTACATGTCCCTAAAAAGTTTTCTTACTCCTCACATTAAATGTTTAATTAGGGGTAGTTTAGTCATAGTAGGTATTTTTGTATAGAATTTAGTATTTTCTTAATGGGCGTGTTAAAAGTAAATTGGACACTTATTGTGAACCGGAGGGAGTATTATTTAATGACTACCAAAAATTGTGGTGGAATGTAAAGATCCATTCATTCTTAATTAAAGTTCTCGTGTTCGAATAATGGGACTGAAGTTCTATTTGGTAGGGAATGCTAAAATCCCTCATAGTGGATTTTCTGTGACACGAGACGAATTAGTCGAATCAGTATAAATTTCAAACACCAAATGGTTAAAAAAAATTAATGTATTACACAATAAAAAACAATTAAGGTGGTTTGGCTTTGAGTATACAACGAATAGCATCTAGAAAACGAAACTATTAAGAATATCCACCCCCAGAAAGACAGAGAGATTTGATGGGGGAGGATGTCACGGTTATTATTGATCCCTTTTTGTTCTTTTTATAGCCCATACAATGTACTCCTGTTCTCCTTCTCATGTGCCATACAATGTACAAAAACGAAGTATTAATGAAGCTAAAATGACCATATCATATTAATTAATGTCAGCTAGTAATACTTTTTTTTTGGGTCTCCCGCCTTGTATTTTGGTTCACATTGGAGCCCGATTAATTCGAGATATATGGTTAAAAATAAAAGTGTACTTATCAATCCACCATGACTTTTATGACTCGTTTTGTACGAGGGATAAGGGATAATTAATTTTGGGATTAAATTTGAAATGTGTCTATCCCACGTTTGATTGGGATAAAATCACAGTATAACTAATTTCGAAATTAGTTATACCGGGAGTATAGTGTTAATATTTTTTGAAAGAATTACAAGGAAATACACATGACTTCACACCATAAAAAAAAATAGCTCATGTTTTTAAGTTTTACCCAAGCTAGCCCATATTGTATATATTTTGAAAGCACTAGCAAATTCAAAATATATGTTCTCACAACCATTGCTTCTAAAAGCTATGAAGTTAAATTTGTGTTCTCACAATCACTGCTTTCACTCTCTCTTCTTCTCACATCTTCTACATATGCTTCAAGGGACTGCCCGCCATTGCTGCTTCTTACCCTTTGTCACCTGGTTGCAGTGTAAGTAAAATTGAAGAGTAGAAGTCCACCATTGAAGGTCATTCAAAGCTTTGCTTTCGAAAATAGGATTTTTTGAATTTGTTAGTTGTTTGGATTGAGTGTTGTTCCAATTGATTGAAAATATCAAAAGGAGTTCAAAATTTAAATTTGAAGTGATGTGGAGTAGATTTGAGCAAGATTTGAGTAAAATTTTAGAAAAGACGCAAGGAAGAAGACGAAGTCAGCTTTTTGTATAATTATGTATAATCTTGTATAATAGTGTATGTGAGTGTATAGACACATCTTATACACTATTATACACCTTTATACAAACATCTGTAGACGAACTTCTTCCACGATTTTCAGTTGCAATTCTTGTTAAAACCAGTCCAAATCTCCATTAAATGACTTCAAATTTTATATACAACTTCCTTATACTATTTCTAACAAGTCTAAATAACACTCACTCCAAATTTCTCACAAAATCAAATTCGAAATTTAAACCCACATATTTAAGCTTGTTAAAAATCTAATTTTCACCATCCAAATGGATTTTGTTTGTTGAACTAATATTTGAGTCACAGTTACTGATTCAAAAATTAACTTAAAAGCTTGAGCAATCTTTTTTAAAAATTAAATAGTAATTTCTAGAACTTATTGGAGTTGGATGTTGAATCTTAGCCTATTATTGTTGGGCTAGTTGATTGTAAATTGAAATATGGGCTATAAAATTGAAAAGGAGGGAGCTCATGCCACGACCCGGATTTCCCACCATCGGGATCGTGATGGCGCCTACTCGTGGTAGCTAGGCAAGCTAACTTATTTACCTTTCATTAATAAATAAATCTGTTAACAATCTTTAGCATCAATAAGAAATATGAAATTTAATAATAATAATAATAATAATAGCGGAAGTCGAATTTATAAGTCTGAATCAAAACGCGGAATAGTCAACAATAGCCTCTACCCAAGATTTGGTGTCACATTACTCACGAACCACTAAGGATAAACTAAATACAAAGGTCTGAAAGAAATATAACAGCTGTCTGTCTCGAAACAAGGAGGCAACTGTCTAAAAGAAAACAATGAGAAGAGACGCCGGGCCTGCGGACGCCTGCAAGGCTATCTCAGTCTCGTGAATAGGAAAGTTTGCTCCCGAACTACTGCTGCTGCTGCTCCTCAAAACTTGGACCTGTGCAAAAATGCACAGAAGTGTAGCATCAACACAACCGACCCCATGTGCTGGTAAGTGTCTAGCCTAACCCCGGCGAAGTAGTGACGAGGCTAGACTGGACATCACATAAACCTGTGCAGTTATAAATATACAGCAGAAATCGAATACCAAGTAATTAACAACATGGGAGGGGAGACATGTTAAGGGGAGATACAATATTAACAGCAATCAAGAGCAACAACTAAAACACTTAGGTTCACAATGAAAAAGGAATCAATACTCACATACAAACACATAGCCTCAATAACTGTTGCGGCGTGCAACCCGCTCCATAATCACTATTGTTGCAACGTGCAACCCGCTCCACAAATACCACTGTTGCGGCGTGCAACCCGGCCCATATCATTTATCATGTATCATTGTTGCGGCGCGCAACCCGTTCCTCACCTTTTACTGTTGCGGCGTGCAACCCGATCCTCAATATCATTGTTGCGGCGTGCAACCCGATCCTCAATATCATTGTTGCGGCGTGCAACCCGATCCTCAATATCATTGTTGCGGCATGCAACCCGATCCTCAATATCATTGTTGCGGCGTGCAACCCGATCCTCAATATCATTGTTGCGGCGTGCAACCCGATCCTCAATATCATTTAACAGTCCGACTCCCCAAACAACATTCACAATTAAGGGGCATAAAATAGTAAATATTTGACAAACATCCCGGACAACGGGAGAATCCAACAAGTTCAACCAAACGTCCCGGCAAGGGAATAATCAACAACGTTTTCTCTTTCTTACTTTTCTTATCTCACGATATCACTGGAGCCCAAGCTCCAAGAAATTTCTTATCTCATATTCCGTCACAAACAACAATATGACGACTTCCCAGTAAGGGAACAAAACATCATCTCAAATATTCTGGCAAGGGGATTAGTATAACCACATTAGTTCCAACATCTAACCACCACATTAGTTCCAACATCTAACTACCACAGCTATAACCAACCTATTACCATACTTGACCACCTCAGCTATATCTAACCGACTACCACACCCAACCAACCCATCTATAACTAAAGTCATCATATGACACAAGGAAACATTAACCTGAGCGACCCTAGTATCCGTTAAGAACACAATGCAGAGGAATCACAACCCAACAATAGCCCGCCAAGAGGGAAACATAATGATCTCTCCTCTTTCTCGCTTTTACTTCACAATTCTTTTTCACAACTCGAGCAGATGCTCCAGAGGTTCAATTATCACTTATACTTTCGCAATTCGTTCTACGACTGGAGCCGACGCTCCTCAATGAATCAAGTCATTTCATATACTTTCAACATTCGTATCACGGTTCGAGCCAATGCTCCTAGGAATCAAATTATCATATCACCATTCACATGTTATTCATAATATATGGAAATACTCCAATAAACATGAAACGTTCATGATAATCACATTATAAAGACTCACGGTCATGCTAGACACCAATGTATAGATACTCGTCACCATGCCTATACATCGTACTCGATCACATAGCAGTTAGCAACAAAACTCAACTCCTATTCCCTCAAGCTAGGGTTAAACCAAACACTTACCTCAAAGCCTTGAAATCCACTTAATCCTCAACTATTGTTTTACCTCGCGGTTCCACCTCCAATTCGCTCGAATCTAATCACAAATTGCTCGATTACTTTAATAAACATTATATGAATCCATTTGAATGCATAAAAATGAGATTCCCAAGTTTTTCCCAAAAATTCCAAAATCGCCCCCGGGCCCGTCCGTGGTCGAAACTACGAGGTTCGAACCGAAACTACCGGTTACCCGACTTCCCCTACCCGAGTTCAAACTNGTTGCGGCGTGCAACCCGCTCCATAATTACCATTGTTGCAGCGTGCAACCCGCTCCACAGTATCATTGTTGCGGCGTGCAAC